GCTATACATATAGACTCATGTACTCATGTAGAAATATTGTATATATGATATAGACCCATATCCTTAATGACCACAGATGCAAAAATTCTTAACAAAATACTTGCAAATTGCCTACAGACACGCATCAAATAGATCATCAAACATGATCAAGTAGCTTTTATTCCAGAGATGCAGGGATGGTACAATATATGAAAGTCAATAAACATCACATATCATATGAATGGACTCAAAGACAAAAATCACATGGTCATCTCTAGAGATGCAAAAAAGACCTTTGACAAAATTCAACATGCATTCATGATAAAAATCCTAAAGGGAACTGGACTGGAGGGAACATGCCTCAACATAATTAAAGCTATATACAACAAACCCACAGCCAACATCATTCTGAATGAAAAAAAACTGGAAGCATTCCCATTAAAATCAGGAACCAGATAAGGATGTCCACTATCTCCATTCCTTTTTAGTATAGTGCTTGAAACTCTTGCTAGAGCAAGAGCAATAAAACAAGAGAAGGAAATTAAAGGAGTACTAATCGGAAAAGAAATTGCAGATGATATGATATTATATCAAGAGAGGCCAAAAATCCCACCAGAAAAGTCCTAGAAAGTATTAACACATTCAGTAAAGTGGCAGGTTATAAAATTAATCTACAAAAATCAGTAGCCTTTCTATATACCAATACCAATAACAAGCAATTAGAGAAAGAGTACAGGGAAACCCTCCCATTCAAAATAACCTTGAAAAAAATAAAAATCTCCAAATAAACCTGACCAAAGACACCAAATATCTCTATGATGAAAAACTTAAATCTTTAAAGAAAGAGCTTGAGGAAGACACCAGAAGATGGAAGGGCCTCCCATGCTCATGAATTAGAAGAATTAATATTGTGAAAATGACAATCCTACCAAAAGAAATATATAGATTCAATGCAATCCCAATCAAAATTCCCATGACATACTTCACAGAATTAGAAAAAAAATCCATAAATTCGCATGGAAGCACAAAAGACCCTAGATAGCCAAAGCAACCCTGAGCACAAAGAGCAATGCTAGGGGCTTTACTACATTACAGAGCTATAGTCATAATAATAGCATGGTACTGGTACAAAAATAGACACATACATCAATGGAACTTAATTGAAGACCCAAACATGAGTACACGCAATTTCAGGCATCTGATATTTGACAAAGGTGCCAAGAACACATAATGGAGGAAGGACAGCATCTTCAACAAATGGTGCTGGCAAAACTGGATCTCCACTTGTAGAAGAATGAAACTAGATCCTTATCTTTCACTTTCAACAAAAGTCAACTCCAAATGGATCAAAGACCTCAATGTGAAACTGGAAACTCTGAAACTGTTAGAAGAAAACATTGGCAGTAACTTTAAAAGGTAGGTATAGGAAAGGACCTTCTAAATTGGACATCAGGAATTAAAGTCATCAATCAGCAAATGGGACCTCATTAAACTAAAAGGCTTCTATACATCAAAAGAAACAACCAAGGAAGTGAAGAGAAAACCCAGAGTGGGAGAAAATCTTCTCCAGTGACACATCTGACAGAGGTTTGACATCCAGAATATATAAAGAGCTCAAAGAAAGCAATGAATCTAGAAACCAAATGACCCAATGAAAAGATGGGCTAAAGATTGGAACAGATTCTCAAAGGACAAAATAAAGATGACCAAGAAAGATCTTAAAAAGTGTTCAACACCATTATTAATTAGGGAAATGCAAATTAAAACCACCTTGAGATTTCATCTTATCCCAATCAGACTGACTAAGATCAAGAGAAAATAATGATACCAATGCTGGTGAGGATGTGGAGAAATAGTAATGCTCATCACTGCTGGTGGGATTGCAAACTCATGCAACCCTTATGGAAAGCAGTGTGGAGAACCTCTTAAAGAACTAAAAATGAACCTACCATATGACCCAGTTATACCATTCCTTGGCATGTACTCAAAGGACTCATCCTACTGTAGAGACACTTGTATAACCATGTTTGTTGCTGCTGTTTTCACGGTAACTAAGAGATGTAAGCAACCTAAGTGCCCCCCAACTGACAAGTAGTACATTTACACAATGACATTTTACTCAGTGGTAAAGAAAGATGAAATAATGAAATTTGCAGGTAAATGGATGGAATTAGAAACTGTTATACTAAGTGAAGTAACACAGACTCAGAAAAACAAATGACGTATGTTCTCCCTCATATGTGGATCCTAGCAGCAAATCCTTATATGTGAGTATATATCCTGATGTAACTGCAGGAATCAGGAAAATGGAAAATAACCAGGGAAGTAAAGGGAAAGAAGGAACCCCAAAGAGAAGAACAGTAGGAGACAGGTGTAAAATTGGGGTAAATTGGAGGGGGAAAGGGAAGGCTATACAAGGAACTATGGGGAAAAGGGGGAAGAAGGAGCTCAAGAGAGGTGGGACCATAGCAGACAGGAATTATCAAGGGAGAAATTGTGAAAATGGTGACACTTAAATGGGGAGGGTGGAGAGAGAGGGTTTGACAGGAAGAGAAAGAGGAGAGGTAATGCCAAGCTAGTATAAAAAAAAAAAAGGACTCGTATTAGTACAAAAACCTATCACAATATTACAGATACACTATCTCTACTTGAGTTCTGATTATACTTTAAGTTGTACATTAAAGTTTATATTCCCATCCTTGGAGTTCATAGCCATTTAAAAATGTTTAAAAATTTCAGAAACAACTACAGAATCTTTTGCCACGTATTTTTTTTTAACCCACTGTATACATAGGTATATATAGGTAGTTTATTCTTATAACTTAGTACAAAACAGATCCCTACAAAACAGTTTAGCTGGTATTTGTTTAAAATGTGTTTCTGTACCAATTTACTTCCTACTGTTTAGAAGCTGTGGTTTTATCAGACTTTCAGAGGAAAAAAAGTGCCAAATAGTGACATGTTGCTTGGTTTTCCTGTAAGAGCTGCTTGGAGCAGTGAAGGAGTCTCAGAAGAATGAGCACTTTTTCATATTTGTGTTCCTTCCTATAAATCTGACAGAGAAATTCACTACCTCAGCTTTTTTCCTGTTCAGAAACTTTATAGCAAGTCTGCATTCATTTGTAGTCATGGCCTATTTCAAGTGTGGCTGCTTTCCTTTCTTCTTGATAGGCTTTCTATGTTTTATTCTAAATTTATATCTCCGGCCCTACCTGCTCTGGGAACTCCATTTGTTCACTCTTAGTCTGGGCTTGGAGGCCACTAAGAGCCATTTGAAATTCAACTTAATAAAGCAGAGCCACTGGGCCTCCTCCCAAGCCCCTAGAGCCAAGCCTGTTCCTTTTGCCTTCTTCCTCCTCTTAATAAATGGCAGCCGTGATTCTCCATGGATAGGCCAAACCTGGATGGAGTTTATCCTTGATTCCCTTTCCCATTAGCAGCCCTCCCCCGACTTCTGCCTCTACCAGCATCCAGGCATTGCCTGGGCTATTGCAGTGACCTCAGACCCGCTTCATCCCTGGCTGGGAGTCTCACTCAGAATACAATTCCTAACTTGGTAGTTTGATTGCCCCTCTACCTGCTTTGCTTAGGCTACACCCACATTCTTGCTGTTATTTTGTGGACCCCAAAACAGTCTTACACAAGGCCTTTGTATGTGCTTTCCCCCCTGACATGTACCTTTGTGTCAGGAAAACAAAGACTAGAGAAAAACGGCATCAAGATTAGCATAAAGGAATCCAGTTAGAAGTGCACCCCCAGGCCCCTCCCCCAAGCCTGTGCTTCAAGTACGACTACAGTATGTGCTAGAAAAAGCCCTTCAACACAAATATGGGAGGCGATGCTGGGTAACTGTACTATACATGGTCTTTTGTTTCCCGCAAAGCCTTTTGGGGCTTTCCCCTCAGCTCACTAGCCTGCTCCTATTCTCAGGAGTGCATTTCACTTCTTAATAAACTGTTTTCTACTTCTCTTTCTAACCATATATCCCTGTTGCAATCCTTGTCTTGGGACACAAGAGCCTGGAACAGTATCATCTGAACTCGGGTTGGCCCTTGCCAAGCCGTCATTGCCTCTGCATACACTTGCTTATTTCTGGAGCCCCTTCAGCTCGGCTCACTGTGCGTGCCATCTATTCTAATCCTGTTTATTTCTCTCCTTAGCATTTATCTACATATAATATTTCTTTGTCTCTGGGATTTCTTCCTTTCCGAAGAAGAAGCTGTCATCCTGTAGAGCCTAAGTTCTGTGAGGGCAGAGACCTTGATTTTCTTTCCCCCTCTCTCCTTGATGTCTGTCTGGGCAGTGTTGTGTGGTCAGGGTCTAGACATACTTGAATCGAGCCCAGTGCTCTTTCCACATTCTTTGTGGCCTCTGACACACTTACTGGACTGCACAAACAGAGTTTTAAAGTTCCTTGATTGTGGGTTTTTTAAATCTTTCTTTTCCTTATCCTCCAAAAGGATATGGAAACATTATCACATGCCCATTTATGGGGCTCTGTGTGTCCAGTTAATGCTGCCACCTAACTGAGGGGCTTCCTGTGCTCTGTGGTCTGTGATCAGCTTAGATCACAAAGTCACTCTGGACACACTTCACTCTGTAGGAATAAAAACAAACAAGCTGCTGTGTTCCTTAGATAAAGTGGCATTTGGAATGGGCCACCAGTTTGAAAAACATTGATATGGCAGAAGTCTCATTTTTCAATGAGTAGCTTATTTGTAGTTTGAATCATGAACATCTCATGTAGTTGTGTAATGGTGAGTTGGGGGAGGTTAGGCTGCCTGCAGTTAATAGTTCTGTGCTTGCTGAAGCCTGTGTGTTTTCCCAGGGTGTTAACTTGGGGCTGGGGGAAGAATATCTTAAAGAAGTTTATTTGTAGGTCGCTCAGCATCCATCCTTGGGGAAGATACTTCAGAAGCGGCTCCAAGATGTAGATGCTTTGTCTTCAAAGTTTTTACCCTTTTGCCTGTGAAGTGTCTTAGGTGTATGCCTAACAGTGGCTGTCCTTCTGATTTTTGCAGGTGATCTGCAACTCATTCACCATCTGTAATGCAGAGATGCAGGAGGTTGGTGTTGGCCTGTACCCCAGGTATGGCAGATGATGTAGCACTGACTGGTTCCCGTCCAGCTCTCCAACCTTTTGGAGTTAGTTGGGCTGCTTCAGCAGCCAGCTCAGTAGCCAAACTCAAAAATTTAGTGATAAATTACAAGAAGCTGTAAAAATGTGAAGTTTGACAACCCCACATTATATGCTATGATATTAATGAAGAGACAGACCTCAGACTTAAGTGCTTGTTCTCAGGCAGACTTAGGGTAGGTTGAGACTTGTGGGTGCTGGAGTTTAGTTATCCTTACACACCTACTCTAAGCTTAGTCCCCAGCCTCTTGCACTGAAGCATAGAATTATCCCACCAGATTTGCTGCATGGTACCAGTGGGCTGAGTTTGTCTTTGGCAGTAGTGTCTTTTGGCCCACAGCTAGAAGAGGCAGAACTGTCAGGTTGGCTACTGAAGTATTCTTGTTAACCATCACTGTGACAGCCTTTATCTCTGAGCTACTGGGTGGCCCTTACCCCAGGACTAGAACTACTCTTGTTTCCTTTTTATTTTTATGCTCCTAGACATCAAACACAGCATTTCTTATAAGTGCCTGAATCTGAGAATTCAGCTTCTCTATTATTTTTCACAAGTGTCATTAGTCTATTCATAGTACAGTAACACAGAGCCCTTTAGTGCATGAGCTCTTAGTTCAGATCATCTGGGTCAAGTTCAGTCACCAGTTCTGCATCCTTGGGCAAGTCATTTTATTCTATGCATTAGTCTCTTCAACTGTAAATAATCCTCACCAGGCTGTGGTGGCTGAATCTGATAAATCTGCCCAGGTACTAAGGAAGTACTTTCTACCTAGTACCTGCGTGCCCTGTTTATTGTCAATTCACAGTGGCAGTGAAACGTCATCCCACATCCCACATGGTAACTGCACCTCCAAGATAAAATGCCTGGGCTCTGGCCCAGAATGTGTCAGAATCTAGTCAGCTTTCTACCAAGCAGAGTACCCCCAGTTATTCTTCAGTGTGAGGATCTAGCAGAGGCCCAGCTCTCCTGCACCAGAGCTCAGCAGTGAGACCCTCTATGGGAAACTCAGTGGCATCTTGGGTGGCTGCTGCAATTGCTGCTGCAGCCTGTTAGCTCAGAGATGATCTCTTTGCAAGTCAGCTTGTCCCCAGTTCTTCATTCATTTGGGTTACCTTATTGGCTGCTATCTACTGAGACCCATCTCCCAAAAGAACTCACAAATGACTTTGTATCAAACTTCCCTAATTAGCTTCCACTATGAGAAAGATTTGACTTCATATGAAGCAAGTTAGGGCCATTCCTGTGAATGGCAGTGCCCTCTCCATCAAACCCATCTTGCCTCCTGCCCCCAACCTAAGTGTCTTTTGCCTACTGTGTTAAGTATAGCTGTTTCACTCTGCTGAGCATTGCTGATCTCCCTTTTGTTGTTTTCTTTCCTTCAGTATGTCTTTGCTGAATCACAGCTGTGATCCGAACTGTTCCATTGTGTTCAACGGGCCTCACCTCTTACTGCGCGCAGTTCGAGAAATTGAGGCTGGAGAGGAGGTAAGGAAACTGCACTTCCTGGTCTGCTTTCCCTGCTCATCAAAGCCCTTCTCAGCATGGTCTGTTCCTAGAAGCAGTTATGCTTGAGGGCCAGCTTCTCACTCTCCTGCCACCGAGAAGACACTGAAATAGTCCTTCTGTCTAGCACTTCTATCCCAAACTGTAGTTGGATTTGTTCATATTTTTGTTTTGCCTTGTTTTGTTTTCAGCCACCGTGTTTCTGAATGTTGATAGTTCTGTGGCATAAATGCAAGAGGTGTTCTTGGGACAGTGGGTGTGTGTTTCATGACATGCACAGGAGTCATTAGATCTTTTTACTGGCAACAGTTCTCTCATGGTCAGAGAGGCAGCCCAGCTTGTTGATAGCATCCCTAGGGCTTACTCGCAAGGCCACTAATCACATTTTGAAGGTGATTAGACATTTTAAACTCTGTGTTGGGAAATTAAGCAGATTTTTGCTCTTTCAGGCCTTTGTCACTGGGTCTTTGTGAACCCGCCAGCACTTCTGGGTGACTGTTTCAGCAGAGCTAGAAGGGCCATCCAGGACTTGGCCATGTGTCCTCGTCCTTCCCGATATGTGCCCAGCCAGCTTCTTAGGTGAGGGGTTCTCACAGAAGCCTGAAGTCTCAGAGGCAGCTACAATTGGGCCATTCTAGGGCTGCTGAGCCAGACCAAGCCTGTGTGGCGTTAGCCCATTTTCAACACCAGCTGAGCTCTGGATTTTATGTATTCTTGTTTTCTAGAATCCAGTTTCTTTCTTCCTTCCAATTTGCTAAAGTGGATATTTATTGCAGGGAAAACAGAGGATCATAAGCTTTTATGAAGCACTCAGCCAATAAAGCCTAATCTTAGAGGTACCATATTTTACGGAGACAGGGATTTGGCCTTGACAAGACTCCCTCCAAACTTATTTTCAACTAAGTAAGCTGCCTTTTACACAAAAACTTTTACTGAATTTCCAGTTTTCAGGCACTGGGATATCAGCAGATGCTATGGAGAATCTAGATTTATTTTTCTGGGGTCATATATGACTTCAAAGCAGGTCAGAAAGGGAGAGGCTTCTGTTTCCAGCAGTATTAGTGTTAGTCACTTTTTCATGCCTATGATGAGATATTTGATGTAAACAACTTAAAAGAAGGAATGATGTTTTTAGTTGCACATTTTAAAGACTCAGTCCATGGCCAGCCGACCCCATGCTTTCGAGCCTGTAGCAAAAGAGTACATCATGGCAACAGGAGTATGTGACAGAGGCTGTTTACCTCATGGCCATGAAGACGAGTGGACAGTTTATGTCATGGTGGACAAGAAGCAGAGTGGGAGCTATAACAAGAGGGGACCGGAGCCATATAGTTCCCAGTGACCCACTTCCTCCAGCCAGACCCCGCCTTCCCCCCGTTCTACCTCTTCCTAGTAGCCCATTCACATTTTGAGTCCATCAAGGGGTTAAACTATAGTTTAAGTCAGACCTCTCATACCTACATGTAGCTGTAAAGCCCTCATAGATACCCAGCAGAAGTTTACCTTACTAAGTTCCTATGCATTTCTTAATCTTAATTATGAGTGATTATCACAAGTAGTTTAAAGGTAAAAATGGCTATTATTGGTGATGATGATAATGATCCTTTAGTAAATAAAATAAGGGCCAGAGGAATAACTCTGTTGTAGAGCACTTGCTTAGCACGTACAAGGTCTTGGATTCAATTGGAATTGTTGACATTTTCAAAACCAACCAAAAGGTTTTGTTATATGGTATGTTCTAGACTTGGTTACCAGTTTTGCTTCTCGGTTGGTTTTTTTATAGGTGAATTAACAGCTTGTCTTTTAGTATATACTTTACTTTTTTGGGTCCTCTGTTTCTGGAGCAACAAGAAATGTTTCCTCTTGTCCAGTGAAAATGAGTCTGACTCAGCATCTCAGCACTGGGTCCTGAGGACTTTTATTTCTCTCTGTGGTGCTGATCAAGGCATCTCAACATGAAGAGCATTCTCTCCCAATCCTTGTCACATCCATTCATTAGAAAACACAACTTCCTGTACTTCCATTGTGCCATCTTGATGAATGTCATTTCCTCTACACAGCTGTCCTGCCTGGCAACATTTCTGCCACTGTTCATATCATGTGCCCCTCCAAGGCCTTCAGAAATCATCTCTTCTGTGAAGCTTTCCTGACTTTCCACATTAGGGAAGGCCTTTCCCTCAACTCCCCCTCTTAGTGATGATTAGTATGTGTTTGACATTTATCCTGACTCCTGGTGACATTTCTATTCAGTTGTTACTTCACAGGTCAGACAACTGGGTCTTGCCTCTTTCTTTATCTCCCACACCTCAAAGGTGTCCAACTCTCTTTTAAATCATTTCGGTTGGTTGAGCAGACTGAGACCACAGCCTTTCCCTGTGGCACGCTGGTATGGAACAGTTCTTCATTCTGTGAAGGCTGTTGGTCACCAAGAAGGACTTGCATTTCTGAGCCCTGCTCAGTTAATGCCTTGTGGCTGCCACTCACAACTGAACTATGTGTCCTATACCTTTAAAACTGACCCCCTGGGGCAGAGGCTGGATGAGAGAAAGCCATTATATAAGACATTTTGAAACCTTAGTTAAGAAGGCTGGTTCCTATTTATTGAGCAGATATAAGCTTTAGTTAAATTGATGATGATTAAATTTAAAATTCGGTGCTTCTGTAGCATCAAGTTTGCATTTTGACTTTGTTGTCCACTAGAACATCCCGGTTTTGATGTGGACTATGTAGGATACAAATATCAGAGAACAGGCCCCAGGAGGAAAGACTGGAAAGCATATGAAACAGGTCTGTGTGTGTGTGTGTGTGTGTGTGTGTGTGTGTGTGTGTGTGTTCCTATTATTGTTTATTGTTTTCTATTTCTGCAGTGCTAGAGAGCAAACTCAGGGTCTTATGCATGCTTGGCAAGCAATCTGCCTCTCAGCTACACCCACACCCTCTTCATGTTTATTGACTAAATGAATGAGGCTTCCTAAAGGTAAAACAAGCGGTGGAGTAGAATCTTGGAGCCCCTTTTCACTGCCAGCACTCCTTAGGTATGTTACACGGCTCCAGGAAGAAGGAAACATAAAAGCCGTCCGTCATCAGTTTGAGATGGAAACATTTCAGTCCTCACACAAGGAGAGCTGGAAAACAGTAGATGCTTTCACAGTAACAGACCTTGCCTTGGAAGCTGCCTACCTTTTGTATCTCTCTATAGAACCATCGTCTGGACCATCTTTGGACCATTTCCCACCAAACTAGCATAATGTGTAGTCCTTAGCAATTTGAGGATTTTCATTGTCATGAAAGTTGTGGAGTCTCTTGTTTTGGTTCTGGCAGCTTTATATTCTCATCCAGCTACTTCCTACAGAGAAATGGTTGTGATTTGGGCCTGCATCCCCCTGCTCACTTGTCATGACTAACATTCTGGATTCTGAAGGCTATCCTGCAGAACCGTGTTAGGCTATGAACCATGTGGCGGTCCAATAGTCTTATAGAACATGGATCGGAACTAGACAGTCTGAACCCATCATGCAATGTCATGATTAAAAGAATTTGTAGCTTCTGTAACTAATGCCATTGGGTCAGCATTCTCTGGAGCCACATCACTTGGGAGGATTGTGATTTACATGAATTGAACATATCAATATCCCTAATGTCAGTTTTAATCTTAAGTGTTTGGGTGTTAGGTCTGTCTGGTTCTTCATTTCAGTGATCTTTGTTAAACAGTGTAACACATTCACCAAGGCTTGCTCGTGACAGAAGCTGGGTGGTAGTTCCAGAAACTTTGAGGAATAGATGAGAAGGACCTTCAGGAGGAAGGTGATTCAGGGCAGAAAGCAGTAATAGAACAAGAGAAATGTGGTGGCATCAAGTGCACCAGGCTTTATAGACTCGCAGAGCAGAGTCACAGAGCCAGTTAAGGACGGTATCTAGAGAAGTGATGTCTAGATCTGAAAGGATCCATATAGGTAAAGCTGGGTGACCAGGGGAAGGTATTCTAGACAATGAGACAGGGGCCAGAGGTAGCATGGTGAGTTCATATCAATAGACTGAGGAATTCAGTGTGACCAGAGATGGGGACCATGTAGGGACAGATCAAAGGCTCCCTTGAGGGCTTTGTTGCAGAACCTTATTCATCTGACGGTTCCTTAATAGTGTCTGGTACATGGAAGACACTCAGTAAATATTTATAGAGGGGAAAGGGACAGGCAATGGGACATCTTGAAGCTTAGGAGAAGGAATTGTATGATGAGGTTTTCTGTGTGTAGACAAGATGAGGACATGTGGCTCATGGTGTCCCTCCAGACAGCTAGAGCTGACAGTGACAGCCTGAAGTCAGGAGGAGGGCAGGTGGTGGCTTGGAGTGGTGGATGTGAATAATAAGATATTTAGTAGCTAAAAGTAATAGAATCTGTGAGACAAAGAGAAATAAAAATGACATTCAGGTTTGACTTTTAGAAGAAATGAATTTTTTTTCTGTCTTTTTCAGTAGAGAGCCAGTATTGGAAAAAAATTTTAACTGTGACAATAAAATGCAGAAATGAAAACAAGATCTAATTTTGATTTGATCCTACAATCCACTCAGTTGTTGATGGGAAAGATGGTTTCATTTTGCTTTGTGATGTGAACAGAAACAGCATGTTCAAGATCTAGAAAATCTCTGGTGATATCGCTCTAATGCTGAAAATGATTTATGCATTTTCCATAAGAGTTGCTTTCAAATGGCAGAGCAATGGTCAATGGCATTAATTTTTATATGCAATTTTGTTCTGTGCCATTAAAGCATCAGTTGATCAATGGCCAAGTTTTGTTTGTATGCTCCCACTAAATGAGCCCTCCACGTAGAGAGCAGCAACTCCATTCAAACTTGTGAGTCTGTGAGTCTTTAATAAAGGTTTTTTTTATCTTTGGCTGATAAAATGATTGAGCTGCCACTTTAATCTGGCTGTGTGCTTCTAGAATGTTTTTGCCACTGCACCCCTCAGCTTTGGAACAGTGTATTTTACAAATGTCAGTGACATAAAAGAGGCACAAGGTTGAAATGAAGAGTTCCTATCTCTGAGGGAGAGGGCTGTTTCTCACTGGAAGAGGTATTTCTAGGCCAAGCTTGAAGAATAAGGATGAGAAGAGGCCACTGACCAGTTAGGCAGCAATGCACAGAATCACAGCGGTGTGGTGGGTGTGTTTCAGAGGCTTGAACCACACAGTCAGACTGGCAGGATGTAAGGTACAGGCTTGAGACTGGAAAGCAAACCTGCAGTCAATGCAGGGAAACCTTATATAACATCATCCCATAAGCAGTGAGAAACTATCCGAAGTTTTCGTGGAGAGAAATGACACAATCAGTGTCAGAGCAGTTAGAACTCTCAGAGCAGTTTAGAAGATGAAAGTAGACAGAAGGCAGTGGGAGGCCAGTTAGAAAGCAGTTGCACAGCCGAGGTAAAGGCTGCAGTCACAGACTACCCAGACAGGCTGTGAGAATTTGTTTATTGGGGTTAAATGAAATAACTGGTCTCCTGTTGCCCATTCTCTGCCCAACATGATCACTCAGAGTTTTGGCCCTTATAATGCAGTCTTGGAATAATCAGACACCTGGAGTTAGTGGCTTCACACTGGGCATGTTGTAATTACTTAAGAACTTCTGCCATTGGCCTGACCAAATAGCAGGGCTACAGTCTTTGGGCTACAGTGAGAACCAGGGTCTAGAATGAACCCTGGAGGGAGCATAGACATCAGCCAGTTTACTACCTTACCCCATGTATAGAACCAGAACTAGAGGACCTGAGGATATAGGGTGAGTGTGTGTGCTTCCCCAAACTTCCCAATGGGCTGTTCCAGAATGTGTGCTTAGAAACTGGCTGTTTAGATTGTGGAACAATCTCTGGGTGTTCTCTGGAAATCACAGAAGCTGGCCTGATACTGTGGCCTTTTTGCCCCAGAGGTGGCCCTGGCTTCAGATTAAGTTGTAAGAGAAAGACTGGAGAGATGGCTCAGCAGTTATAAGAGCACTGGCTGCTCTTGCAGAGGACCCGGGTTTGGTTCCCAGCATCCACATGGCAACAACCTGTAGTAACCCCAGTTTCAGGGGATCTGACACTCTCTTCTGAACTCCGTGGGCATTGCACGACATGGTGCATGTACACACATGCAGGCAAAGCACTCGTACACATAAAATAAAAGTAAATTTTAAAAATTAAAAAATAATACTCAGGAAAATGGTGGAGGAAACTAAAATGTGACCACAGTCTTGGCTGAAGGAGCCCAGTTGCCACCACTGCCTTGCATAGGCTCAAAGGTCATGACTGTGTCTTCTAGTGCCCGCCATCCCTAGAAGGGTGAGGAGCCGCTGTCATGGTGAAGGAGTGCCAGGCTTGGTCAGTTCTAGTGAGTCCCAACCTTTACTGATTTTCAGTGTTGCACACCACTGTGGGAACGCCCTATGCAAAGGACATGCTTAACACCAGGTCTGCTCCCCTTGGGGCAGGTACTCATTCTTCTGTGTGAGGCAACATACTATAACTTCCTAACATGCAAAGACTCTATAGTGAGCCAACCAGCTAGGCCAGGCCGGGCTGCATCATCTGTCACCCTGGCGATCACATTGTGGGGCTGACAAATCTGACTGACCAGGCTTCCTCCACCCCGTGCAGCTTTAAGGAGGCTTTCTTGAAGTTGTTTTCTGTCCTAGGATGGCCTTCCCTGCCCTACCTTGATTTCAAACATGTCAAATCATGTTTAGCAGACATGAGATGCTTTCATTTTAGTGTAAGGAAAACCACATGGAACATTTGCTCTAGGGAGTTTTTGTCAGCTTTTAGCAGATAATCCTGCCTTCCTCCTCTCCTACAATATTCCCTTCTTCCCCCACCACTCATACCCCCATCATTACTTTCTGCATTTGAAAGTAGATAAATAAGTCATGTCTACAATATATTACAGACTGATATATGTTACAAGACTAAAACAAAACCAGGCGGGGGAAGGAATACTCTACTGGGTGTGGTGGGAACCAGGTTGTTATTTTAAATAGGAGGCGGGTTAGGCCTCCTTGAGAAAATGAGATGTAATAGAAACAGGAAGGTGAGGGTTGGCTGCCATGGTAGACCTGGGAAGAAGGCAGGAGAAACCTCCATGGTACAGACTTGAAGTGGATCTGTGTAGGGATAGTGAAAAGTCTAGGCTGGGACAACAGGACTGGGGGAAGGGGAATGGCAAAAACGCTAGGCTAGCTGGACGGGAGGACGGGAGGGGGGACGATAGCAAAAACGCTAGGCTAGCTGGACGGGAGGACAGGAGGGGGGACGATAGCAAAACGGCTAGGCTAGCTGGACGGGAGGACGGGAGGGGGGACGATAGCAAAAACGCTAGGCTAGCTGGACGGGAGGACCGGAGGGGGGACGATAGCAAAAACGCTAGGCTAGCTGGGGCAGCAGAACTCGGGGAGGGGAACATGCGTTCATTGAGGGAGTGGGGACAAGTTTATATGAGGCCATTGCTTCTCTAATCCCTGTGATAAAGGACCCATGTTTTTCCTGGGTTATTATTGCAGACCAATATTCTTAACGAAATTTTTAGAAATGAATTATTAGAAAAAGGAAAATACAGAACAAACTAAAAATTCAGTGTTTTCTTATAAGAATCACAAAAAATACTCTTATCAAACCAGTGAACAGGTTTCTAAATGTAGACTTTGTGTTTCTTTACTCATTTCAGGGCGAGAGCCCACACAGTCCAGGGACCACACTTGTGTTGTGTTGTGGGGTCCCATTGTGAGATCTTGGCTCTCCTCAGGCATAAGGGGGTGGTGTTGCAGCATTTCAAACAGAAAGTTCCATCTGACTTGAATTTTGGTGAAGGCTGAAAGGGTGGTGTGCAGAGAACTTCTCTTCTAGGGAGAGAAGCAGGGAGACCCATCCTGAAACCTGACTTCATAGGCCAGAGCAGGATTGGAAAGATGGAAGGTAGTTGGTTCTGGCTATACTTTATTGTAGATCCAACAGATTTCTGGGTAGTTTTGGATGGTAGAGTCAAGGGAGACTCCCAGTGTTCAGCCTGGATAACATGAAAGAAAGAGTTGCTGCTGTCTGAGACTAAGCAGGCTCTGGCATGGAGCAGTGGGGAGCCGGGAGCTCTATTTTGATGTTTTGAGTTAGGGTGTTAGAGATATAGTCAAGTGAAAATGAGCCTTGGAGTTCCTTAAGTCTGTCCTTCACCTTGACCTTCTGCCCTCTGAGACAGGCCTAATTTACTGTGTTTGAAAGAGCCCAAGGAAATCCACTTCAGAGCCTCATCTGACATTCAACTCTCCCCTCTGAAAATTATTCCACTTTTTTTTTTGTTAACCTAGCAACAAGTAAGAAACTGTCTCTTAAATTCTAAACTGCAAATATGGATGGCCCTCAATTCTATGAGGCAGCCATACAGTTGATCAGTGTGTAAGAGCAATCTGGCTGTATCATCTGCCACTCATTTGATTGCCAGAATGAATTTGGCTTCTCTGCTTATCAGTAGTTGGAGAATTTCTGGCCAAACTCAAGTAATACTGAACATGCAACAGCTCTTGATATTTTACTGTTTAACGGAAGGTGGGGGGTGAGATAAAAAAGTACCTAGAGGTCCTAAACCTAATTCTTTAAATATATAATGCCTATGTGCTTACACCGAACAAAGGCTTGAAGAAAATGCATTGTAGTTTGGCATGTGATTGCTTGGGGAAGAGGCTGCAAGTGGCACTTTCTTGCTTACATTTGTTGGTGTTTTACTCTAATAATCAGTAATAGATGAGAATGAGTCCAGCATCCATGTGAACGCTTCCCTCTTGGTCTCCACAGCTCACCATCTGCTACCTGGACATGCTGATGACCAGTGCAGAACGCCGGAAGCAGCTGAGGGACCAGTACTGCTTTGAGTGTGACTGTTTCCGGTGCCAAACACAGGACAAGGTCTGTTGCGTGAAAGCAGATTAGAGCTTCTCAGGAAGCATGTGAAAGGCCTTTCGAGAACTCTGCTGTTATTTCATTAATTCAAAGTGCGTGGTAGGAATCAAGCATAAGTAAAACAGAGCACCGAGCTGCAAACAAACTTTATTTCCTGGAACTTTTGTCACCTGACAAGGTGAAGAGCTTGGGGCTAGAAGTGTCATGGGACTATAGATGTTAAATATGTGGCATTAAACATATAATTAAAAGGATATGGAAGGCCAGAGGACTGCTAGAGCATACAGTAAGAGGCTTGAGATATGTTTTGATTGATAACAGTTACTGCCTAGCAGTAAGCATACCAACTAGCATTCCGTCTGTCCTTTTCTTTTAAAATTTGTTCCATAAGGCTTTCTTCTGCAGCACTTTATCAGATGGATATCACTTGTCTAGCAACCCTTACTCTCTGAGGAAGGAGGAAGAGCCAAAATAAATGTCATAAAGATAATAACCAAACCGTTCTCACATTACTCATATACTGTCCTCATTTTGAACCTAGTTACTTTAGTTTGCACGCAACCAGGTTATCTGATGCAATCTTACTTCTGTAGGGTATTTACATTGTTAGATGTCTTTTATGATCATTAGGTCATTTAATGTCAATACTTAAAATGAATTAGGAAGGTTTAGAGATATGACAGGTTCAGAGATATGGCTCTGGGATGAGATGGAGCGAAGTGGCAGAGCCAAGACTCAGCGTTCAGTGCTTTTGACTAAGCTGAGTGCTTCTTGCACTGTCCTATGACCTCTTGTGAATTTTGGAATCACTATGGGTAGAAAGAGGTAATTGCTCTTACTGCTTGAGAAAGAACTATGAGCTCATTTTAATACTAAAACATAGTTGATAGACATAATTGGTTTTGCATTAAAAGGATCTTTAAGAAACATTTAAGTGGGAAAAGTTGGACCTACTGCTGATAGATAGCAACAAGATTCAGTCCATTTTAGTGTCAGTCTTTTACCACTGGCAAGCATGCCAGAAGTTGTAAGAGCACTCCTTGGATTCCTCCTCCACTCCAGACTATAATCTGGAGCAGAGTTGAGGTAGTTTTCTACCAGAGTCCTTGGTCTAGAATGGGAATTCGCTCTTGGGATTTAGTTCTTCTTAATTCCATAATGATGGCTGACTTCTAAACATTCTTGAATGAATGAATGTGTTTCATTAAAATTTGGGTTCATGGTTACTTTTATTTTATTGTCACAAATAATGATAACAAATAAAATTGTCTTTGATAGATAAGGTCTGTTTGTCTGCATTCTGGAGAAGTGATCTAAGAGCAGCTACTTCTGGTTCTTACCACAAACCCCAAATCCCAAATCTGTTTGTGGGTGTGAATGGGTGTGTGGTGCTAGGGGTTGAGCCCAGGGCCTTGCTCATGCTGTGCAAGTGCTGCATCACTCAGCTACATCCCTAACCTGTTTGTTTTAATTTTTATCTTGAGACAGGGTCTCACTAAATTACCACGTCATTATCCTCCTGCCTCAGCCTCCCAAGTTGCTGTGATTACAGGCCTGTACCACCAAGCTGGTTCTCAGTCATTTCTTCTCCCTCTGGAGCCTGTGGGTTTTGTTCTTATGGTCCCAAGACAGCTGCTGTCCACAGTCTGCAGTTGGTGTGTTCAAGTTCTAGACAGGGAAAAGGAGGGGCTATAGAAGCCAATAAACAAAGAAAAGCCTGCTTACGGATGCACACTTCGATTTCATCTTTCAAAGCTGTGTTACATGGTCCCCTGTAGTTGTAAAATCGGCTAGAAAATTATATTTCTGCTTTTCACCCATGGAAAAGAGGGGTATGATTAGCTTTAGGGTAGCCAGTCACAGTGTCAGCATCCTATTCAGACTCTTAATTCTCTTACTTTATTGAGCAAATATTTTATTTAATACTATAGTAGTCAGGGCTCTGCAGAGAAACAGGATCTCTCTCTCTCTCTCTCTCTCTCTCTCTCTCTCTCTCTCTGTGTGTGTGTGTGTGTGTGTGTGTGTGTGTAGTCTTGTATCACAGTGGGATCCATTCTGAAGAATTTGTGATTAAGAGATTTTGTCATTATGTATACAGTATTACAATATACCATTGCAAGGACTGGAGAGATGGCTCAGCGGTTAAGAACACTGGCTGCTCTTGCAGAAGACCCAGTTTCAATTCCCAGCACTCACATGGCAGCTAACAACTGTCTATAACTCTAGTTCCAGGGGATCTAATGCCCTCTTCTGACCTCTGGGGCATTGTATGACATGGATGCACCTATCTACATGCAAGTAATACTCATACACATAAAATGAAAATATTTTCCAAAAAAACATACCATTGTGCAGTAAGTTTATTTTTGTCAATAGGACTATATTCTAAAATTGTAAAGCATAATATATTAAATACATAAGCTAACAGCATTGTCGTTTATTATTGCACATTATACAGAGCTGTATGTACTATGCCTTTGCTCCTCTGCTCACATGTAGTAAACGTCTTTGCACTAGCAATGCTATGTAATAGGAATTTTTCAGTTCCTTTATAATATTGAAACTATTGTCATATACAGAGTATGTTGTTGATTTAAAGATCATTAGGCAGCTCATAACACTCCTGGGGAGGGGTGTTGATTGACTGTAATTGGCTCCCAGCATTATGGAGGTTACCAAGTCCTAGGATCTGCAGTGATATGCTGACCTAGGAGAGCTGGTGGTATGAATTCCAGTCCAAAAGCTGGTGCGCTGAAGACAAAGAGGAGCTGATGTTTCAGTTTGAGACCTAGCGCAGAGATGACCAACATCCCAGTTTGAGCAGTAAGCAGGGTTTCCTCTTACTTGAGGAAAGGTCAGCTTTCTTACTCTCTTCAGGCCTTCGGCTGATTGGATGAGGTCTATACAAACCAGGAAGAGAAATTTCTGTACTCAATCTCTGGGGGTGAGATGTTAATGTTGGTTACCCCACAGCCTGTCAAGTTGCCGTGTAACATTAACTCTCACAAATACTGTGATAGGCCAAAAGGCGGAAGTCAGACTAGGACTTGATTAGTTTGATGGCTTCTAATCCATTCTGTATCTGACAAATTGAGTGACCATGGGTGAGCTATATTCACCCTCTCTGGCCTTGTTCTGTCTGTAACCTCAGAGACTTAGACTACGTGGTCTTAGGCCCCTTCCAGCTCTATTATCCCATGTTTCTCTGAAATGTTTCCAAGGGGAAGAAAATAGGGAATGTACATAGATAGGTGTATAAACTTGGTCATGTTTTCAAGTTTCCATTTATCTGAGAATTTTGTTTTGCTTAGTGATAAATATACTCCTTCTGAAGTCTCCATAGTGTTACTTTGCTTGGAAAAAATCCATAGTTAAGTTCACTTTAGTGTATTCCACAAAGATTATAAATTCAAAATTCCAGCGCAGTCAAAATTAATTACACCTCAGTTCCTAGATACATATTTTTCTTGGAACCTAGAAAGTTGACCTTACCAGCAGTATTTAGCATGCACCTACATCTGGATGTTGCTGAAGCTATGTGGTTTCATGTTTAAGGAAGGTAGGAACCCTTTTTAGCAGTATGCACAATTTGCATGTGTGGAATTGCCCTTCATAATCAGCAACAGTTTAATAATCTGGAAGAAATAAAACTTACCTCCTAAGGGAGATTTTGAAATGGTTAGAGTTCTCTTATGGTTTGCTCAGGGCAGAATCCAAAGCAACACAACCAGAACAAACCAAGTAAGACTGATTGTTTCCATACGTTTGTGACTAGTGTATAATGTGCTTCCTTGGATGTCACATGCTTTGTTCTCCCTCCCATCATCCTGAAAAGAAAAATCTGTGTTTACTTGCTGTGTTACTTTTTCTTCCCTTCAGACAGCTATGTTTAATTCTGCTGTTAAAATACAATGTCTAGAACCTGGGGAGAAGGCTCAGTGGGAAAGAGAGCTTGCTGTGCAAGCATGAGAACCTGAGTTCAAATCCCCAGTACCCCTATAAAAGCCAGCCACAGCCACACATGGCTATAAAGCTAGAGATGGGAAGCTGAGACAGGATCTGGGATTTTGCTAGCTGCCCGGCCAGGGCTGAAACAGCAAGATTGTGGTTTGGTGAGAGACCCTGTCTTAAGGGAAGAAGGCAGAGAGCAATAGAGGAAGAAGGCATTTGATGTCCCCCTCTGGTCTTCTTGTGTGTGTGCACAGGCATAGGCTCCTGCATACATCAGGGTATATACCTCACCTCCACCACCAAAAATTAATTTAAAAATAAAATGCCATGTTTATCATCTGCTCCAAGCTGTATTGTTTCATTCCCAGATTATGAAGCAAACACCTGATTTTTCTCAGAGCCCTTTCTTTTCATCCACACCACAACTCTTTGAGAGTTCTCACATACCTGATTCCCTGCCATTGCATCACTCAGTGTTAGTGCTCAGAGCAAACTCTACACTCTTAGCTTGGTTTTGGTATTCTTCAAAGTCATGGCCCCAAGATCCAAATATTTGTTTCATTTCTTTTTAAAAAGTACCAATTTCCTTTATCTAATTGTAGCTTTTGGTCACCCAAAAGATTCTAAAGTTGTGTATACATACAAGTGCATGTCCATACACAGCATGCATTCACATAGATGTGTGTGTGCTTATATACAATATGTGACAGCAATGCACTTTTTATTTATTTGAGAGATAAATGTGACAAGACAAAGATGAAGCAGGCCAGGACTGAGAATATACACCAGACGCTCTCTTTCATGGTGGCTTAGATACATCACAGAGTCACTCTGAACTTCTCAACAACCAAGGCTAAAATTCTGATTTCAGGAATCACAGACCCATAGGCATGAGCACACCCATCCCTCAGCCAAGTCAGTGTTCCCTACACTGAGGCTGAATTCTCATCAAACTCCAAAGTGACCAAAATACCTGACTTTCATAATACAGCTCAATGTGGCTGGTTGACATAACCTCAAATTATATCTTAATTAAAGAAATAAGGGGCTGAAGA